ATGGTACTGGCACGAAAACAGACATATAGACCAAAAGAAAAGAATATGTCCATATATGGACCCTCAACTCTATGGTCAAATAATCTTCGACAAAGTAGGAAAAATTATCCAGTGGAAAAAAGAGGGCTGACAAAGGGCTGATATCCAAGATCTATAAAGAACTCTTCAAACTCAACACTCAAAAAACAGATAATCATGTCAAAAAGGGGGCAGAAGACATGAACAGACACTTCTCCAAAGACGACATACACAAATGGCTTACAGACACATGAAAAAATGTTCATCATCACTAATTATCAGGGAAATTCAAATCAAAACCACATTGAGATACCACCTTACACCAGTTAGAATGGCCAAAATTAACAAGATAGTAAACAACAAGTGTTGGAGAGGATGTGGAGAAAGGGAAACCCTCTTACACTGTTGGTGGGAACAAAAGTTGGTGCAGCCACTTTGGAAAGCAGTGTGAAGATTCCTCAAAAAATTAAAAATAGAACTACACTATGACCTTGCAATTGCACTACTGGGTATTTACCCCAAAGATACATAGGGAAAGAAGGGCCATATGTACCCCAGCGTTCATAGCAGCAATGGCCACAGTCGCCAAACTGTGGAAAGAACCAAGATACTCTTCAGTGGCTGAATGGATGAAGAAGATATGGTCCATATATACAATGGAGTATTATGCCTCCATCAGAAAGGATGAATACCCAACTTTTGTATCAACCTGGACAGGACTGGAGGAGATTATGCTGAGTGAAATAAGTCAAGCAGGGAAAGTCAATTATCATATGGTTTCACTTATTGTGGAGCATAAGGAATAATATTGAGCACGTTAGGAGAAGGAAAGGAAAAGTGAACTGGGGGAAATCAGAGGTGGAGATGAAGCACGAGAGGCTGTGGACGCTGAGAAACAAACTGAGGGTTTTAGATGGAGGGGGTGGGGGGATGGGTGAGCCTGGTGGTGGGTATTAAGGAGGGCATGTATTGCATGGAGCACTGGGTGTGGTGCATAAACAATGAATCTTGGAACACTGAAAGAAATAAAATTAAGATGTTAAAAAAGAAGAAATGTGTTGGTCTCTGACTACGGCACTTGGTATTAAATGATTAGTATCTTATTTGAATTCAAACATTTTAATTTAATTTTCGAAAGCACTGAAACACTTTACTACCAACTCTCTTGTATGTAAAATGTTCCTAAATGCACTAATACGACCACATGTAGGTCTTGGGCATTTGAGATGTGGATGGCGCATATTAAAATAGCCTGGAAATGTAAAATACACTCCAGATTTTAAAGACTTAATACAAAAAGAAAATAATGTAAAATATATCATTGACAATTCTTAGATTCTTTGTTGAAATAATATTTTGACTATTGGATAAATCAAATGTATTATTAAATTAATTTTAACAGCTTCTTCTGCTTTTTAAAAATGTGACAACTAAAAAAATTTAAAGTATCTATGTGGCTCCTATTATGTTTCTACTGAACAGCACTTTGTTAAAGTCTGTGATTCTAAGACTGATTTCAAGTGGGATTTTCCTAACTTCAAACATACTGTATTAAGTCTCAATAAAAGCTGCATGGCTTCACCTGTCCCTTTTCATGTCAGCAAAAACCACTAGTTTTATCATAATCAGATACTTTCATTTCATTCATTCTTATCACACATAGTGACTGAACACCTACCATGTGCTGAGTCCTAGACTAGACACTGAGGATGTGGTGGACCAAAGCAGAAGGGATCCTGTTCTCTAAGAGCCTCAGTCAAGGCAGGCATCAATCATAAAATCACACTGATGAATGTTTAATGTCAGTAGAGAACAGCTGTGCCAGAAGGAACAGTGGGATCTGAGGGATGGGAGGAGTTATCTTAGAGGGGAAGGGGAGACAGCCACAGCAGAGGACACAGACACTTGTGGCCCACCCGAAGGAAGAAGGATCCTGGGCCCAAGAGCTGGGAAAGAGGAAGAAAGGAGTCCAAGATGAGACTGTAGAAGGAAACACTCAGAACCCGGTAGATACCATAAAGGTGTGAATTCCAAGACCCATGCAAAGCCTTTTAAGTGCTTTAGGAGGCAATAACAAGAACATATTTACATTACATTTGAAAATGATAACTTTCTACAGAAATACCAATAATTTTTTCCAAATAAGAAAAGAGTCTGTTGGTGAAATAATTAACAGTGGAAAATGGTTCCCACTGCTCCTTTAATTAGTTGTCATTATCCTGAAAGTTAGAGTTCTTAGGTCTTCTAGACTAATTTACTGAGGATAACTCTAGTTCCCAAAAGAGACAGAACCATTTAAGAGGTTGTTTTGTAAAGTCTTGTCACACAGAAAACAGGTTTCACAGATAGCCTATTTAAAACAAAACTTTTCAGACTTGGCTTTCCCAAGTGCCTTCTTCAAGTCATGTCAGTTATCCGTTATACCCACGTGCTGAAGATCTAAAACAACTTCAGTGGGAAAGCATTCTCAGTCTGGGTATGCCCATTAAATCAGATTCCTTCCCTGTGCAATTTAATGGGTTGAACAGATAAGTGACCATCCCAACAAGCGGAACAGCATGAAAATACTCTCCTGCTAAGCTTTGTTTCTCTGAACTTGTGTTTTGTTAGATTTCTTTCATTTCTTCTGAAGTCTAGAATAAAATGCCATGCAGAAGATAACTCTGAAAAATCGTTAGAGAAGTTCTGTTGCTGCTATTATTCAAACATATGGCCCACAGAACAGAGAAAGATGCCCCTCCAACCCCACCCTCTTAGTCGAACAAATGCACGTCCAACTAAAAGGAAAAAAAGACATCCGAGATTTAAAAATAACTATGTTTTCTCAATCTATTGTCCCCTTAGACATTCAATATTTAAAGTTACAAGGATTAATGAGACAGTTTTGTTATTACTAAAAGAGTAATTGGAAAAGTAGTAAACGCCTAAGGAAACTCCAGGTGTGATATACCCTGAGGTGGAAGACATCGCACAGATTCCATTCCAACCTCCTCTTGTCCGTGTGATGGGAGAGGAGGCTAACCTGTTCCACACCCCCAGCAAGGTGGAGGGGCAACTTGGAATTGAAACTGCCTTACTGAATTGCAGTCAAATCAGGATTGTCAAACAAAAGGTTCTGGAAAGATTTTATTATAATAAAAATATTGAACAATAACAATAATGCAATCAAAGATCATTGTTAACATTGAAGGAGTATTTATTTAGTGTTCAGGCTTTGGGCAAACTAAGCACATATTAACTCATATAATCCCCATAGCAAATACATTACCAGCCAAGTCCAGTCAGGCTAGAAAGGTCAAGTTAGTTGTGTTAAGTCACTCAGTAACTAATGGTGGAGCCAGAACACAGCCCAGGCTCGGAATCCATGCCTTCAGCCATTTACTTTATTTATCTAGTCTGAACTCAAGGAGAGGAAATGGAATATATTTCTCCCTCATGAGAAACCAGGCAGAAACTTCTATAAAATCCTAGAATTTTATATAAATAGATGGGTCCTCAGAGTCGGGGATGATACTGAGTACACTACATATTAAACATTCGAATTTAACCCCCAGACACCTAAGAGTCTAGTTTGCAAGTGTTCATGCCGGCGCACACGATAAACCTTGGCTTGAAGTCACTAGTTGCGTAAAAGCCAATCAAACTGTCATGTAAAACAAGGTTGAATGAGGACATCACATCTCAGCTCATGAGTTGTGGCAATTATCTCTGAAATTATTATACATTCTGAATTTATTGCTGCTTCCTTTCTGCTCCATGGTATATTCATCAGTAATTTTATGAGTTACTTTTGTGCTATGTTTTAATTTCCATTTACCCATCTTTCTCTTGCCACTTGCCCCCAAGGTCAAGAGCCATATCTTTTTCAAATTCATTCTTCTAAAACCCCCCCAAATGACTTAATATAAAGTAGACCCCTAATAAATGTTTGAGTCATCACATAAAATGTTTTCTAAATTCTCATTCAATTGCTTCAATGATGGTTAGTTGTTAATATTAATTTCTTATAGTAACAACTGCATAAATTTTCGTATGTGAAACAGTACTTATAAGTGCAATAAATGGGAGTTGCTTTAATGATGGTTAGCTGTTAATATTAATTTCTTATAGTAACATCTGCATAAATTTTCATATGTGAAAAATTACTTATAAGTGCAAGGTTTGAGGTTGATCTATCTGGGTTCAAATCCCAGCTCTGCCATTCACGAGCTCTGTGACCTGGATAAGTTATTTTAACCCTCTTTTCCTCAGCTCTCTCATATGGAAACTGAAGATAATAATTATACCTCCTTCACAGAATTGCCTAAAGTTTAAAAGAGTCCATTTATATAAAAAGCATTACATATACATATGACATACACATTTATATAAAAAGCATGACATAGTATATGCTTTCACCAACACTCCCACCATCATCATCATCCAGACAACATCTTCATTATCACCACTGTCTGCCTACCAGCATCCAGCATAATACCTGGTATAGACGAGGCTCTCAACAAATGTTGAATTAAGTTCCTAAAACATATATAATTGTTTCTTTAACCTAAAATGTGCACACGTGACTTACCACTTGTCTATATACTTATACATCTCTATAGACAGAAATTTCAGCATCAAGGACAGATTTTGCATATAATCGATTTCATTTTATTTAAAGGAAATGAACAAGAAGGAAAATTTTTCAAATTGAATGGCTAGATTAGCAAAACACAAAACCAGCAGCACCACTAGAGGGAGCTTTATTCAAAGGTTGCCAACAATAATGCTGCCACCAGTAGGATTTCTCTATGCTCCCTGAGTCACTGGGCTTCTGGAAGGATCATTCATAACAAAGAGACAGACTTTCTCAAAACTAGTTAGAAAAAAGTTGAAGGAGTGAAAATATTTTCAGGACTTTAGAGAGGAGCTCAATGTTCCCTCTTTCCGAAAATGAGAGTAACCAGCAGGTTTTTTTGGTCCATTCTGAAAGATGAACTTACCTGTGTCTTCGCGCCTGTGCTGTACAGGCCGGCAGTCCTTCCCATGGCGGCAGCACTTGGTATGCAGAAGAAAAATGAAGGAATCACATTGCTGAGGCCATGGGCCAAAAATTCCTACAGGATTGATAGTAAGAGAATATATTACTTAATCACTATCAACTTTTGGAGACCACAGGGACATCTTGTCAAAGAATGAAGCTTGTTTGTATTCAATTTCAGTTCTCCCTATTTGTTGTGACCTATTATTTAAAAAAAAAATATATATGTATGTATATATATATATATATATGTAAATATATATATAAATATACATATACTCAATAAAAGTTACATATATATAACTTTTATTTATATATATATAAAAGTTATATATATATATGTAACTTTTATTGAGTGCTTACAATAAGCCAGAAACTGTTCTAAGCATTTAATGCTCATAACCACCTTCTAGGGAAGTAGGCCATCTACCAATTGCCCCCATAATGATAACTCCAGTGGTTATTTCCTATCTACCTTGCCTAAAAGTGGCCTTTGAGATAGTTTCTCACTTCTTCCTCCTTAAAGGTTCCTTCTAGGTCCTGCTAGGACCTCACACCCTCCTGTTTTCCTCCCACCTCCCTGACCACTGCTTCTCCATGTCCTTTATGGTTCCTTCTCATCTAGCCAATCACAAATTGGACCACTTCTCTCCCTGATCTTAGCTACCCAAATACACATTGACAACTCTTAAATTTACATCTCTAGCCAGGGCCACTCGTCTGTAGTTCAGACTCATATGGCCAACCTGCTACCTAGCATCTCCATTTGGATTGTTGGCAGGTATCCCAAACTTCACCAAATCAGGCTCTTGCTCTCCACCATCCCCAACTTGGTCCTCCCACGTTCTTCCCCACCTCAAGTTCCAATTACTTAAACCAAAAGCATTAGAGATGTTTTTGGATTCTTCCCATTTTCCCAGATAGTATCCACATCCAATCCAGAATCTGTCTTCCTCTCATCTCCTGCACTGTTATATCCCAGTCCAAGTCATCAAATGTTACCTGGATGTTTTCCTGCTTCTGCTGCTGCCAGTAAACAAAACAAACATCCCTGCCCTCAGACAGCTACACTCTAGTGAGTGAATGCTGACAGTAAACAAGATTAATAATGAAAAACAAAGCAGAGAAGGGAGTGGAAAAATCTGGAGTTTAGGATTTTAGTTTACCAAGGAAGGCCTCCCTGAGAAGGGAAACTTTGAATAAAAGAGGCATGCAGATATCTGAAGGAACAGAGTTCCTGGCAAAGGGAGCAGCAAGTACAAATGTCCTAAGCCAGAAACATGATTAGCAAGGCAGTAAGTGTGGCAAAAACAGAGTGTAAAAGGGATACGAGATCAGAGAGGACAGAGAGGGTGGCAGGTGGTGTAGGGCTCTGTAAGGCATGGAAAAGAGGCGTTTCATTTGCATATGATGGGAAGCCACTGGGAGGGTCTGAGATAAGAAACAACATGGTCTGTGTTGTATACCATTGCATCCCTTGTTCCTAGACCAGTGTTCAGCACATGGCACAGCTCAATACACATCTGTTAAATGAATAAATGTGGGGTTTTTTCATAGATAACAAAATGGAGCACACAGCCAATTAAGGACACATAGCATCAGAATGAGATTTAGACACAGGTAATAGAACATTCATAACCACTGTCCCACAGCTGCCTCCGCAGACCTATGCAGGCATGTAGGGAGGGCCACAAGGATTGAAATAAGAAACTAGCAGAAGTCATTTCAGAAATAAATCAGTAAAATTTTCATTCTTTGATATTCTTAAAATAAACCCTTGCGCTCTTTAGTTTTTTACTAACACAAATAATATTAGTGTTATTTTTACTTTGAAATCCATGATTTTTAAAAGTCAGCATGCAATGATAAATATTTGTAGATTCTATCCTAACACCAGAAAGGACATCAAGATGTCCTTCTCCCTAGGGGGGAAAAATTTTATAGTTTAAACCAACCCGTGGAGGCCAGATTTTCAGCTTTCTATGAATGATTTAGAGATTTCTGTTTTGTTCTACCCATTCTTGCTATACACTCAGGAAAGTTATATTTCTCATAAGTTCAACATTGTCAGGGTCTGGGAGTCCGGAGTACCATGACACGACCACCGTAGAGGGGGGCTGAGGCGTACTCCACCTGGTTGTCATCAACTGAATATTTGTATTTTTTAGCAGATCCTTGAGCCAGAGCCAGGGAGGCCACATAGCCGACAAGTGCCACTCCAAAAGCTTCAGTGATTACTGCAGAGAGGACATTCATGGGGGGAGCTCTAGGTGGAGGGATTCTGTGGAAAGAAAGACCATCAATTTTCATGTAATTTCTGTAACAACTTACACTGAATTCAACTGTGGTAATGACTATGAAGTTTGCCTAGAGGAAGTGAAACACCCATGTGAACAAGGAGCCTTGTGGTTGGAAGCCCTTTGTTCTCAATATTATTTAGCAGAAAAGCAAAATCATAAGGATCACCATGGAGATGGGCTCCATGCCTCCACAGGCATTTATGCCCAGGTTACACTACAGAAACTCTGTCTCAACAAAAATGTCCTGTATCAGAACAAAAGCAGATCTGGAGTGTTCTTTCATTCGAAAGTTTCCAAATATGTGATTGGCAGGCGTTAAAGACTATACTTTCTGCCCTGAGTACTACAGTGTTTTATGCAAACAATGGTTTACTCTGAGCTACAATTCTTAAGCTGGTCCCTAAATTTGCCATAATCTTAATTATAATCTTAATTCATAATCTTAATTATGTTTTTAACTCAATCCTTTTACAGTACATTTAACTATGCATCACATATGTTAAGAAAAATGTGTGTAAAGTTTCCATGTACCCTCCATTGCAAAATACAGTTCCCCAGTTTTGTTTTGTTTTTTCCAGTTCCTCAGCTTTAAGGAAGTGTTTAAAATATTTCTTTCAACTAATACCCAGCCAGTGTCTCCTTGTCTTTTGAAAACTACTTGAGCCAAGGGATCATTGTTTATTTATCCCTGATGATGCTTTGGAGGACTTACTTCTCCTCCAAAAACAAACGCAAAATCCCTCTGGGGACAAAGTAGAAGAAAAAGGGAAGATAAATCATGTTGACTTAATACTAGCAAGAAAGTGGAATGTTCAGCTCTCTCAATTAACTGTTTCATTTAATCGTCCACACAACCCCACATGAGTGCCACTCCTGCACTCTATAGCAGAGAAAACATTTTAAGAAAGTTTAGGTAATGTACCTAAATCACAAAGTGAATGGTAATGTTGGGGTTCACTGTCTCTTTTCAATGCCACACTCCTTCCATAATTCCTTCAGAGAATGGGTGTGGAAAGGTCATTCAAAATAAAGGAGAATTAAAGCAGGTGGGGGAGAGGCATGATTTCTTTTATCCACTTCCTTTAGTTTACACCCAAGAGAAACTGATAACGTAACATTATAGGCCCTAAGATATTTTAATATGATATATAAAAGAGCTACCATTTCAAAGTATAAGAACTTCTGTTTCATAAAAATTGAGCTTCCCTAATTATTATTAATAATAAGCTGACCTAGAAACAATAAATTGACTTTTAAAGGTGGAAAAGTAGAGACCCCCTGCAGAAAACCCAAGTTGATTTAAATAACAACCATTAGCCTGTATCTAACATAAAGGTTTAAGACAGGATTTTTTAAAAAATTATCTTTTTAACCCTTGACAATTTTTCTACTGTTCCTCCATTTTAATGTAATGAAAAACCAAAATTTGGGACTGGAAGATAAAAATACAGAGGAAACAACTATAACTCTGCCCCACATTTATAAGTACCAGTGTTTATACAGCCCATTAAGAGGGAATAACCCTATGACACCCCTCTCTTCCCCAAGGTGTCTTTGTGTTCCTCCAGGCCATATTTGGCTCAATGTTTTTGCCCTTTTAGGGTGAACACTTCTTGTTAACCTTCCTCTTAGGGTCCAGAGGAAGGCTCTGGGAAACCATACTACTTCTCTACTTCTACTTCTTTTACCATTATACTTCTCTACTTCTACCCTCTTTTACCATTATACACCACCCAGGCCTGTGGGATTGCTATTTCAAATGATGCTTATGTGCTTTTACTACATTTTAAGTGAAATAAAAATAGTCATAAGAATGCATGTGTGGAATAGGGAACAATAAATCCCAGAGCATGACTATAATTTAGAAATTCAATGCCCTCCTTTTTTTCTCCAAATAATATCTTTGTAAATAATTTCCAAATCTTTAACCTGAAGCAATGCTGTATAAAATAGTTGTCAACTTCCCTAGTAATAGGCAAACAGTTTAAAAGGTTACTCTTTCTCCATATGTGTATTGTTTCTATCATTTTCAAATAGAAATTAATTAGAATTTGTTCTATAGAGGGCCTTTGAAAGAAATGAAATCCATAGCCACCTACCCCAAGACTTTTCCTCCATCATAAACAAACAAACAAAAAAGAAAGAAAGAAAGAAAAAGACTACATTACCCTTTTGGAATATGACCAACTACTTCTAATCCATATGTGATTTCCATATTGGTACAATAACAAGCAAATGACGCAGCAATAATCTGTGTGGTTCCATTTGAAAAAAGAAAAAGGAAATTATTACTGGCCTCCCAAACACCTTGAAGCTATTTCTGAAAGCAAACATTGTTTATGTGTCCCATGATTGTCCAGAGTAATGTAGTAGTTGCACAGACTTTTAAAAACTAAGAAAATTTTAAAAATCAAAAAAATGCCTTTGAAACTTGAAAGCACTTAATTTGTAGTCTCAAAAACCAAATGGCATCCCCACAATATGGCTTTTCTAACATCCTTTCCAACAACGTCAATCCAAACATGACTGATTTTGAAGAGGCGCAGAATAGAATATGGGAGTGTATGTGTGTGTACAGATACCATAACCAACCTAAATACTTATCTCCTGGAACATGAAGAAATACTTTATATCACAGCACAATTCCCTCCAGGACACCAACTTTCAAGAGTTTGAGATATTGCATAAATGACTACATAGGTCAGTAATCGATAACGATTTACAGTCTCTTTGAATAATTTTGAATTTTGAGCTTTTACTATTTCTTGAAGTAAAATGTACTAGTTAATAACAAGCTGAACTCACTGTTCTTAAAATTACCTCTGTTGGAGTCTCAGGTTCCCTATGCTCTATTATCTGACCTACAATAGGCAAGATCAGGTGTTCTCTGCCTGCATACCTTTAAATCACCTTTAAAAAGGATGCTCAGAACCCAGTTCAGTCTCCGTCATTCTAGCCATGCCACCCCCATATTTTCCACCCATTTTCACATTCTCTTTTCATTTTTCTCATAATTTTAGTAGGGACTGGGAATTTCACATGGTTATGGTATCAGTTTGGTATTAGCTTGGATCTACTTATATACTATACATTTTTCTTAAAAAGAGACATACCAATTATCTATTTAAAGTACAAATTTACCACACAGATGGCCAGAAATAAGGTATAACAAAATCACACTAGCAAATTAAGACATATTTAATAATTAATGCCCAATAATTTTATTTTGTAGGGATTTTTCCTATCTGTGTATTTCTCTTCTCTATAATAATATTTAACTTAATTTACAGAGGATTTTAAAACATCAAATAGACTTAAGAAGCAACAGACTTGAGGATTTTTTAAAAAGGCAACAAAACTGTATAGATTATACTGTTGAACAATAAATATTGTGATATAATAGTGTTTCCTGATGAAGATAGTAGTTAAAAGTTCAGCCTATTAGGTTAGAATCAGAAGCATTAATATATTCAAAAGTTCCGAAGATGATTAATAAATTTTAATTGTTAATAATTTCCATGAAATATTTATATCAGGTCAGAAAATATTGTAAGCTATAAAAGAAAATATACCACAGCCACAAAATACTGGTTCCTTATTGAAAATGGAAGAATACATGATGTTCAATACCTATAGGCAATATTAAAATTAAGTAATTTAAGCCACTGAATTGGCTTTCAGACAATATCTTATTTCCTCACTCTATCTCTTTGACAAAATTAAATTCCTCTATCAGATGAATCATTGGTTCCCTCTTCAATATTATTTTAATATTATATGTGTGTATAAGGCCAGCACTGCCCTTAGACTTGGGGCAACAGGGGATCCTGGTCCAGTCAGGCCCAGTGAGTCAAGGCTTTCTAATCTGGTCCTTTCTAATCTGGCCCTCCCCATAAAGTAAGAGCTTTGTAGGGGTGCCCAACTCACCTGTACTTGTCTTTCTGGACCTCACTTTGGATACTCAGGAATCTACAGTTTCCTGCTCCAATGGCCCAAGGCTGCTCCCCCAGGTTCATCCTCCCAGTGTGGCCCGCGAAGAGGTCAAGAGACAAGTTTTGGTGATGAAAGAGTGAGGATGTGTTTGGAGCTTGGAGCAGGAAGAGCCACACATATACATACGAATCCCCTCGTGGGTCCCACAGAGCTGGAGTAGGAAGAGAAGGGGCAGGCCAAGGAGTTGGCTCACCCCATGCTGCCTCATTCTGACAGAACTCAAAGGATGGAGCATTCTCTATTCTGACCTTTCAAGGTAATCACTAAGGTGTTTTAGTCAAAACAGGAAAACAGAACTTGCTTTTTTTGGGTTTTGTTTTTCGGGGTATTTTTTAGAGAGAGAGCACATACAAGCAGGGTGGGGAAGGAGGGGGAGGGGAAGAGGGAGGATCTTAGGTAGGCTCCATGCCCAATATGGAGGCCTACATGGGGCTCGATCTCAGAACTCTGGGATTGTGACTTGAGCTGAAATCAGGAGTCAGATGGTTCATCAGTTCAACTACCCAGGCACCCCAGAACATGTTTTATTTAACACTTTGATCTATAACTTTTAAGTATTGGGGCCTGCATTAGTACTTTTACCATGGATCCTGCAAATATTAGGGGCAAACTTGTGTAAGAATTACCTCTCCTTTTCTTTTTTATAAGGATAAAGTATATCTTACTACTTTTGCATTGAATAAGTAATATTTTTATTACTAGCTCAAGGGGCATGTTACCTAAGGTTATTTTCAATTTTTGGTTCACGCAACATACATAATAAAGCTTCCCAAGATATAATAAGATTTCTTAATACCTATAGGATTTGGGAATAAAATGGTATGTTTCACAGTTGTTGTGAAAACTATTAATAATCACAGTACCCTCCACTTTTATGGCTTATTTGAAATACAAACACACACACACATTAAATAGATCACATATGTTACATGGATCTCCATAAATTATCAGGAGTATAGAATCATACAAGTTCTAGCTATGGAGAGAGGCCATCCACCTGAGCTCTACAAAAGTAGAGTTAGTTTCCAACATGCTAGGTTTATCTATTTATGTAAACCTACCATTTCAGCAATATAAACGACTATTTCAAGAGGTGAAATTATTTAGACACCACTTGTTCTGTACATGTGTAACCCAAAGACCATTAAAAAGCTAAAGCCAATTAATGATTAAATTAGTAGACTGTGGTTGTGTTAACATTACATTTTCAACTTAATGCTTTGTTTAATTAAGAGTTCCCATTAGAGGCTCTTAAAATTTCAAAATGTGTTTTTTAATGCATAACCCATAAACCTTAAACCATAAACCTTAATGCAAAGTATAATTCATTGTTTGGCCAGCTATAGCAACAAAAAATATCTTAGAGAACCAGCCCCGGCCAGTGAAAATCATGAGTGTCCTTTCAATAAAGCAAAATTAGGTTGGTAAAAAAAAGTGTTAATAACTCTACCAATCATTGATGGACATTTGTCAACTAATAATACTTCTATGCATATCATACAGAAGCCACACCAATAGGATATGATATCCCTTTTTACTGCTTTAGAGAGAATCATTCCAGAAATCTTTTGAGTCTCACCCTCAGAAATGTCTCCTTATTTAAAATCTTAAGTTATATGTTCTATTATTCCTATAAAAAAATTACAAGCATATGAGAAATGCTATGTAAATTGAAAACATGTGTGCCTCCTTTTTAAAATTATTGACTCAAACTGTTTCCTGTTCTTACATTAATGTATAGCCACGCAAAATTAGCCCTCCTTTAATGAGAGACAGGAATAGCTGTGGATTACTGCGAATGATATAGGGAGCCTCTGCAGATTACCCCAACAACAAGCAAGCACTGTAAGGCACAATGCTAAATGTTGATTTCATACTTACCCAAACTAAATCGACAGGAAGGACAACTTTAATTTTCCTTTTAAACTGTTCATTCAGCTCCTTAACCAGAACGAGCACCACGATACTCAGCAAAGATAACAGCAGTGCCTCCAGTCGGACAGACTTGATGTTTTCAAAGACATATGCGTAGATCTGCAGTGACGAGGGAACATGCAAGCAAAACTCGGGGTCATCCACAACAGACCACACTGAAATCTGGCTCCAAATGAACTCATTGATGTTTTGCAAAAATCATGTTAAGGGGTGGGGTGTGGAAAGGTGGGCATAAAGTGTGGTCGGCGCTAATGCAGAGCAACCTATAATTCATTTGCATGTACAAAACCGCTTTGTCCCTGACTCTTCCGCTAAATTCAGGGGTCGCTCCTTCCTACATAAGGACACTGCTAGAGAGAATGACTCTTCCGGGGCCTTCGTCGGGCAGAGATGCTAAAACTCATTGCCCACATGCAGATTCATCAGGCTCTTCCTCAAACTGCAGGATAGAACAAGCACATGCACTTTAAATATCTGTGGATGCATCTGGAAAGTTAAGAGCTCTGCATAAGGAGGTATTTGCGTTGATCTGTATCTTCCAAATTCTCTCTTGCGAAGATATATCACTTGTATAATTTTAAAGGTTTTTAAATAAGCCTTAAATGCTTATCTTCAACATGTCCCTTAACTCCTCCTTCTGTTGGATCATGCTGACTCTGATTTTTATAAGCTCACTTTTATTTGTCCACAACAGATTCTTCAAGTCATTTCAGGTGATAAAAACTAGCTTTTGCTCTAGGTCACAGGCTATTCTTACAGCAGCCCAACTTGGCATTCTTTGGCCTCTCTTTTCAGTATCTCAAGTATGAGCTGACCATAACTAAAAATACTGGATCAAAATATTACGTACACAGTGGATCAAAAGAGCTCACATAGACTATGTTCTTCAGGATCTCCTAAAATTCTGCTCAGTAGGTTTCCTAATCAAAGGACTTAACCCATCTGGTCTAGAGATCTGGTCCAGGGATGGTATAAGGAGGTACATCAGGTTCAGGTTACCCGAACCTGAATTCTAGAGGTTAAATGTTATCATTCACACTGTAACTCTTGCAAACAAACAAATTAAATAAACTCAGTTAAACTAAAGCTTCACTGAGCGAAAGGGACCACAGTAGGAAATCCAGAATCCCTTTTGCCCACAGTTTAAAAACAAAACGACAAAAAACAACAGAAATAAAACAAAAACAACCCAAAAAACCCCACTACTTGTGTATCAGATACATTAAGGAATAATTAGGGATCAGAATAGCTTTACCGATAAACCGTAGTGACTCTTAATCTCACAAAACAAACTGAGGGTTGCTGGGGGGAGGGGGGTTGGGGGGGTGGGGTTATGGACATTGGGTAGGGTATGTGCTATAGTGAGTTCTGTGAAGTGTGTAAACCTGGCGATTCAAGACCTGTACCCTGGGGAAAAAAATATATTATATGTTTATAAAAAATAAAATTAAAAAAAAAAAAGAATAGCTTTACCTGTTGTCTTTTTCCCAGTATTCTATTTTATCCCACACTACCTGAAAAGAAAATTAGGTACTACAATATCATAGCTATCTGAGACGCAGACAACATTTTTTTCTGTCTCTCCATGCTGTGGACAGTAATTGTTCACTGAATTCCTACAGCAAGTGAAGGAGCAAGTTCTATTTCTCATAGTCACCCCTTACTCAAAGTAGAGGACTAAAATTCAAAAGGCCTCTTAGTGAAATATATCCTACAGGGAATAGGGTTAGAGGAATGTCAAGAAAATTTTGTCCAGATACATTGCTTTCTGATGATTTAAGGACAAAAATGAGGATATCATTCAGATGATTTGTCAAGAAAAAACACAAGCATCCAAATGTTTTAAAGGGTTTAGAGGATTATTCCTTCTGTTTTATGGTATTAAAAGTATGCCACGAAAGTGCCTGTCTAAGAAAGGGAGGAAGGGCTATGCTCAACCGCCAAGCCATACCAAATTTGCTATTATGTGCATTTTGAGAACATGTGTTTGCAATAATAAAAATGACCACCCCAGAATGAAAGGAATGAGAAAATCCCCCCAGGGTTTTTATTGTCTGTCTGGGTTAAACAACAACTTGTAGGGCAAAGCACTTCTCACAAGATGATCCAGAAGAATGGTGGGGGTGGGCAAAGGCTTGTTACAACCAGCGCGAAGAACACAATAGAAAAGCAGGCTGATGAGGAGTGTCATCCTAATGACTGTCATGTGGTCCCACAGGAAGAAGTCACAGCTAAAGTCAGCTTGCAGGCCACGAGTGGCATATGGAGACAGAGACAGGAACAGAGAAAGGGATACAAGCAGATATGCAAACACATACAAACACATAATTACATATGCTCGTTTAATGCAGGTCTAGGCATCCTAAGCACACATTAAAATTTCTCATTGCTCATCAATCCAGTCATCTGGGAATGCTATCACACACTAAGCTCCAGTGGATAAAAACTCCCACTGAAGAGCATCTTTCCCTCAGAAGAGCAGAGGCAGTTTAATACGTGTATGGATAAATAAATAAGCAGTGTCATCAGAACTGACCACTTTAACAAAACAAGAGTTCAGTTCATTTTGAAACTATAATGCTAATTCTTTAAATTGACCGTTTACTACAACTTGACATTAAATGAAAACTATTGGTATGTCCAAACAAATCCGTTTTGAGATATTTCAAAGAATAAAAGTAGTCTACTCACGATACATATGTTGTTTCTCACTGTTTTCTTGACAAATGAGATTTTTCTGAAGTAGTTAATAGATGTCTGCACGCCCACGCACAAATTTTTTTAAGATTTTATTTATTTATTTATTTATTTGAGAGAGAGAACATGAGCAAAAGAGCCCAAGCAGTGGGGAACAGTAGAGGGAGAGGAAGAAGCAGAATTTCCGCTGAGCAGGGAGCCCAGTGTAGGGCCCGATTTCAGGACCCCAAGGTCATGACCTGAGCTGAAGGCAGTCACTTAATTGACTGAACCACCCAGGTGCCCCAACAAATTTATTTATAGAATGTGTTCTTATCTGAGTTGGCCAATCTTGTTTTTTTTCTTTAACTGATGGATTTTCAACTTCTGGAATAGTGTCTGGCAGATGGACACTCAATAAATATTGCTGAATGAATAAATACTTTGGTCTAATGTAGTAAAAATAATAATAAATAGGAGAATTTAACTTGAATAAGCAGAATGATGAAGAGAGACAGGACCCAGAGTTTTCTTTTCTCACTATCAATACTTGAGCTATATCACATTATGGGGCTTTGTAGCTATCATTTATTAATCACTCAACATGTTTATTGAAGTTTTATTATAGGCAAGGTCTTGAGCTAAATATTAAAGCTACTATTGCAGTATATTTCAAGTAATCGATTTTTTATATCTTCTATCTGATCTAAATAATCAGATTTTTAATAACTCCATCTTTATAAGAATGAGGCAAAATCCAAAGCTGAAAAAACTCAGATTTGGGATTTAGTTAAGGAAAAAAAAAAAAAAAACAGGCAAAGGAGGTTGTACCCATTCGATAGTTTCTCATTATGTAACTGAAAAAGCTAAATTATGTCCATTTTGTTAAACTTCATAAGGCAAAGGGAAAGATCTTAAATGTTTAGAAATGTTAGTAAGTATAAAAAAACTAATGGATTTTCTGTCCAATACTCAATTAACCAGAAATTTCTATCAATCAAATATCCTTTCCACTAGCATTCTCCATGCTCTACGTATTGCTATAATGAAATGTCCACGAAAGGAAAAAAAATGTTTTTAATATTTTAAGTATATAATGTTATCATTGACAATTCTTCAGTAGCAGTGATGAGTATATTTCTGAACTATCTATAAAGGGACCACATGAAATATGCTAACATATATTTTATGCCAAAAAGAATACATAATCCCTTTAGTATAATATTTATCATTCCTGTGCTATTTTTGTATTAGGAATCTGTCATAAATCACTTTATGTTTCACTGGAAAAACAGAATGATGGTACAATCAGCAAACCTTAATAAAGCTGTCAGCATTCTACTTTATAGTAGGTATAAAGTACTAATTTGTGATCCACAAGTCTTGATTCCCAATATATGACTTTAAGTCTGTCATCAACCACAAAACCAGGAATATCTCTAGGAAAAAAAAAAAAAACTGTAACATTCATAAATGCTTCCTCCATGTGTTCAGACTGTGGTCTGAAAACACTTGTGGCATCATCTGTGCACAGATATTTGTCTCAAATCCAACAAGTGCACTTACAAGAGACAGAAGAGGAGAAGACGTGAACACAAAGCAGAAGGGGCTTTGGGGTAACCAAGGCACAGTTTGGTTGATGTAGCCACAAGCCAAGGATGCCTGGAGCCACCAGAAGCTGGAAGACAAGGAAGGATTCCCCTAGAACCTTCAGATAGATCATGGCCCTGCTAATACCTTGATTTTTGGACTTCTGGACTCCAGAATAAAGTTGAGAATAAAGTATGAGAATAAAGTTCTCTGTGTTTAGTCCCCAGGTTTCTGGTAATTTGTAATAGTAGCCACAGGACACTAACATAGTTACCAAGTCAAATGCTTTTCACTGTGTTCCCCTAAAGTTCATATGCTGAAGCCCTAACCCCCAGTACCTCATTAGATGACTATATTTGGAGAGAAGGCCTTTAAAGAGGTAATTAAATTAAAATGAGGCCATTAGAGTGGGCTCTAATCCAATCTAACTCCTGCGGTTATAAAAAGAGGAGATGATGACCTACAGAGAGACACCAGGGAAGTGCGTGGTCAGGGGGAAGGCCATGTGAAGAGGCAGGAGGGGGGCCATCCGCAAGCCAAGGAGAGAGAGCAACCCCAGAGGAAACTACTATGCTGGCACCCGGATGATATCCAACCTCCAGAACTGTGAGAAGAGCCATTTCTGCTGTTGGAGCCACCTAGCCTGCGGCCATTTGTTACAACACCCTTACCAAATGAACACAGAGGATATTCCCCTCTTCAAGTTGACTGAGATAGAAGTCTTTCTAAAACACAAAGTGAAACTTAACAAAAAGCTTTTAGTAACTGTCACTCCTTGAATCCGTACAGTGCATTCACCTTAACCCTTTCTTTCTCCCTGAACAGAGGAATTT